TTAATCTCACTTTAAGCAGCTCAAATCTTGGGATTCTATCAATTGTTAATGCACCTGGAAGAAGTCAGACTGTGAATGTTGAATCTTTGAATCACAAATCCTATTGCAATCTTGTTCTGGAATAGTTCAGAGCTATTGGTATAACCATCTTTTTCTCAACAGATTAACAATGGTTTGGTTGAGGGGGTATCCACATCCATCCAAGTCTTGTGCATATTAATGAGCCAGTTGTGCAGTACAGTAGCTAAATAGCAGAATAAAACTACTATTAGTTTGTATTTGTAATGTATGTGTAATGAGTGATACCAATTATTTATTCAACTCTTTCTGGCTCAAATCTTATTGTAGTGCAGCAAAGAGAAAAATTAAGAAAAAAATGTACACATATTGAACCCCCAAATACTCTATATTATTCCAGCTTTCATACACTGAATGATGTAGATATAGTAATTATCATGACAGGCCTACTGAACATATGTTGTATCTCCAAAGTGTGCCTCAAAGGAGATCTGCTGATTTTCACTGAGTTGTTGATGAGCACAACATGTACAATGACCATGCGATACTGACTCCTGGGAGCGAAGTGGTGTGCAGAGGGTCCCGAGAAGATACTATTCGTGGGCTGACTGCTAGGGTTTTCAGCATTTGGTGTCAGTTAAAATCAGTGTCTTAGGGTGACCACGGCGCTTCCATATGGGCGCCATGCTGGGCCCTGTTTCTGTGTGTGATAGGAACACAGGGAGGAGACATAGCCAGCCAGTGAGTATTATATTGATGTGTGAGCCTTCATGTGGAGAAAGAATTAATTCTCTGGGGATGCACTGAGCAATCCAGAAGCTGTGTTTCAATTATCAGCTCCTCACACACTTTGTCCATGTCAAATACCAGGCCTTACCCAGCCGCTGCCACTATTTCTGGAGAAAATAGACAGATGATGAAGACGCCACATATGAACACTGCAGCAAATATTGATCAACGATTGGTATTTTACAGCGTCTCTGTGCCTCGCTAGCTTTCCTTCCAAGGGTCAATATCATGATCAACCAGATATCATCGTCAATCTCACCAACATTATTGAGATTTAGAAGGTAGGGTTGTATAAATAATCAAATTTTAATCATTATTACAACACTGGTGTGATAATAAAAAATGGTTAACCATAAATCAGTTCAACATTCAGTCATAAACTGTATAACACAAGTTAACCTGTAGAAGAAGTATAGATTCGTCATTTGTGATTTTTAGCCATTATGGATTTAAGTAGCTTCCCTCATTGGGCAAAACCAGTAGAATTTATTATGCTATCTCTATTATTACTGGACATTTCCACATGAAACAAAACAACAAGCTGACACAGTTTAAAGTAACTTCAGGAGGTTGTGCCATAATTCAACCCAAAATACGTGATGGTTGTCAGTTGAAAAGACTTTAAACCATAAAATTAATATTGCAAAGTTGATGGGCAAATCTAGATATTGATATTCTTTCAAACCATGTGAATCTCCCATAGAGTTACATAGGCCCTCCATCTGAAATATTATATCAAATTCTATAACATGAACATAACCTATTGCTGAGTTTTAGATGACATCATTACAGTCTTGATGCTAATAATATGTACGACAGATGGGAGCAGCTAAACTTTGCATTGTTAAAATGCAGATTTGTTGTAATATACCAGATTCTTAGGTCTAATGAATAATAGAAAACATCAGGTTCAACATTAGTGCATTCACCTTTTGGATATTTCATGGTAAAGTACACCATCTAGGACTATGATAAAAACACACTCTAGAAACCATCCAGGCTAAAATGAACACAGACTTTCAATAAGTTGAGTCCCAGTTTATTTGATGTTTCACAGGGTCCTCCAAGGACACACTGCCCTCTCTTTGGTTTAAAGTTGGATCAAAGACTGAGTGGTGCCAAGTCCGTTCACCCAGATAAAGTTACCAGGACTGTTCAATTATTCAATAGACCTAAATCTACCAATCAGTCCACCTATTGAACAGGTGGTTTCCTCAGACACTAGATCAGGTGCACAATAATGGCTTCACAGAGCATGTCGTCTTTGTGTCTGCTCCAGGGCCATGATCTGTAAAGCTTTCCCTGTGTTTGAATTATGCTGCTCAGTGGAAAAAGTCTAAAGCCAGATTGAGCTGTAGTTGACTAAAGACATGTCCTGTGCATTGATTCATCGACAAAAAGGGGAGCTTGCAAACGCTCTCAAAATTATAAGGAACTTGTGTAAAACAATGTATACAGAGAAGGACTAGTAAACAGTATCTTTAAATGCATACAGGCTACGTTACTTACAATACTAAAATTTCAAATTTGACATAGATTCGATATTCAATACCAATTCCAAAACCATGACGAATAAAAGACACTCTTTATTTAAATAAACAAATTAAACTGTCCAGGCATTCCCAAAACTCCAGCTGTCTAAATCTATGCATTTTCTTTTCTCCTGATCTCCAAATAAATCCTAATAAAATAATTATTTGACTAATAAAACAACTCGTCAATCAAGATACCATCAACCAGTTAAATGACTAAAGGTTTTTCACCCCAAAAGATAAAATTTGCATTAGATATCTTTATAAATGGCCCATATTACTATTTTCTGATCTATGCTATAATGTTGTTTCCTCTTCACAAACCTACCTGGAGTTGTATTTTGTCAAACACACAAATCCTGCATATTTAAGAAGAGTTTGTCTCTCAAACAGACAACACTTTGTTCAACCTTGTGATGTCATGTGGTAATACAGGAAGTGCTCCACTGCGTTTTTAAAATAAAATACATGTTCACTAGAATCATTTGGATCGTTTCAGCCCTGGATTTGACTATCTCTATGAAACGAAAGGTAAAATGTTGCTGTTAACTTGAAAACTACCGCTTCAAGATATCACAAGGTGGAACAAAGCATTTTGAGTTTTGGAGATGTAGACAAACTCATAATAAAGAGTTACTCAAACATATGTGAATGAACCAAAATACAACTCCAGGTATCTTTTGAGGAGGTAACATCAATTTGGAGTAACCTTTAAGATTTGCGTAGTTATTACATTATTCTGAATATTTCATGCAGCTGTCATTGTTTTTGCAACTTCAGACAGATGAGTTTAGTTTAGTAAACAAGAACAATTGACAGGCTATTGCATTACTCATGAAACAAGGTAGCAGTGCTGTCACTGTGATACTAAAATGTCCAGGATGACGGAACAGCTTGAAAACGCCATTGATCATCCATCCATTTTACCAAAAAATAGCTTCAAGTGAGTCAGATGCAGAATTATGGGGCTCCCTGAGGCTCACAGCTTGATTCAATTCAAACACCTGCATGTCAATACCCAGAGACAGAGCTGAATCTAAATGTTATATTGCTGCAATTTGTTTCACATTTTACCTCAAAAATGGAAGCAAATGCTGCAATGGATTGTGGGAAGAAAGGTGTGTGAAATGTTGTTTGAGTTTCAAGCAACAATCCATTACTAATGTCATGAAATAAATTGATATCAAGATATGACAAGACACTATAATATTGAAAAGACCTCATTCATTTAGGTATCTAAAGACACTAAAGATACATGACCTTTCTGAGTAGTTTTAAAAGATCTCGATCTATAGATGGATTTCAAAATGATGAAAAGTTAGGAAGGTTAATAGAGCATTTATCAAAAAAAAAAAAAAAAGAAAGAAAGAAAAAAAGAAGAAGAGGGTATTTTCTGTATAATCATCCTCAAAATGGCCCACCCATATAACAGGAAGCTGAAACCCATGAGTGTCATAAGTAGGATAGGGCCACATTATATTATTAAATAAGAAACTATTATTAAAAATCACATTTTCATTTAATTATTCATGCATTCAATGTGGTTCAATTAGTATCAAGCATTTCTCTGCCAAAATAGTGATTTTAGTTTTGTGACAACAGCATAAACAATGCATACATTACAAATGCTTGGCTTCACTTGGCTCACAAGTCAGGAGTCTCAGAAAATGGCTGTTGTTTTCTGTTTTCGTGAATAAGAAAAGGTTATATGCAAATGTAAAACGTGTCTATCTTACATAAACATAAAGGGAGACTTGAACACAGAAGACTTCCATTCAGTGCTGCTGATGAAATTAAGCTAAAGCCTCATTACTCTGAATGTCACAGAGGGGTCATAAAATCTGTCAATATCTTCAGGCTTCAGGATTTTCATGTGATCTTGCTGCATATTATATTAACACAAAGCCATTAATTGAAACAAATATCTACATTCTTTACATCTGTAGACATTTAGAAAACAATTAATCAAACATTGACACTGAACTCAGGTTGTGCTCACTTCATAATAAAGCTTGTGATTTACTGGTCCACTGATGCACAGTCATGACAGAGCCGTGCTCAGTGGAGCTGTCATGCACATGATGTACAACAGAGAGGTCACCATACAGGACCATACAGGACTACAGTTCACAGTTCACAGATGTTTGTCCAGTGAGATTGCTGATTGTGTAGTAAGCAATACCTGAAAGGTTAATTTTACATTCTATTAACTCTGCTTTAGACTCGAGTTGAGTTATATTGGGGAAAACCTGTTTAATTAGACAAACTGAATCATCAACCTTAATGACAATAGCATCCCCTTCAACAGCCTGTGACTTCGATGCACTGCAAAGTAAACTCAAAATAGACTAGTTCAGTTTTTTCTTACGCACAATTCAGTCTGTGAAACACGTGTTCAGAAAAACTAAAAACTAAAAGTCTTAATAAATGACTCCAGGCTCACTGACACATGCACTTGCTGTTGAATATCACGGAGCTTCATATTACGCTCAAATTGAAGCGCCTCCTATTACATAACTTCATACCCAAAGTCAGCGCAAAGCCACAGAGCGCACATTTACCCATCAGTTACATTCGTTATAAGCAAGTAAAAAATAAAACAAAAACAAAAAAATAGGTTCAGTTAACACACTGACACTTCTCGCGAAGGATTGGGCTTACCTGCATGTTTGCGATGCCGCAGCGGTGAAGCTGAAGTGTGCAGAGCGCGCGGAGGTCTCAGCGTGGACTGTCACCTCCCCACCACACGCGAGATGCGAAGGAATGCGCGCGCACGGCGCTCACCCACACTGGGAAGAGGGAGAGGAGAGAGATAGTGGGGATGGTGAAACAAGTGGAGTCCCCTTTCCACGCTGCTAAAATATGCGCTCTACCCAATCAGTCTGTTCTTCTAATTGAACTACGCAGTGCCCCAATGGGCTTAGCCCCCTTCCCAATGGCGACTTGTTTTAAGCGTCAGCCATGTGAGAATAGCCTAAGGCTGTACAAGGCTTGTATATCCTGTACATTCGCTAATAGACCTGTGGGAGCTGGTCAACAGCAGCTTAATTCATTTCAAAATCAATGAAGCACAATCCAACAAACAGTGCGCCCACTTTCTTTGAATGAACCTTCTTTTTCGATTTCTTGTTAATGCTCATTATTGCCACTCATGCGAGCAAACATTGTGCAATTTGTGGCTAATTAGAAACATATAGGCTATAGGCTACGGCACGTTTTACGTTTAGAGAGTACAAAATGAAGCCATGGTTAACTCAGGGTTAACAGGATCATTGCCATCTCTTACAAAACACAAAACATGTAACAATGGTGAAAATGTTAAGCAGCCTAGTCTATTTGGTCACAGTGATTTCCTTTGAGTTGCTAAGTTAAATTCAAATGAAAGTTGTTGCTTCCATAAGCAAACCATGATTGGATTTGAATGCAGCTAACAATAACCATCTTCTATTAAAAAAACAAAAACAAAAACATCATATTTTGACCGATAATCCCAAGAGGAAAAAGAAACAATTCATTTCAACCAACACATCTACATACAAGCAGTTTTGGAATTTAGCAGAACATGATTCACCTCATTGGTCTGTTACTCTTGATTGCCTAGTTAAATGGAGCCCATTCTAGAAAAACAATGACTTAATTCAGTCTGCAGAGTGTGTTTGGTGTGTTTTATAACATAAATGTGATGGTGTGAGGCTTTAGTCCTTTAATCCGCTTCACTGCTCTCTCCTGTCTGTCCTCTGTGTGGCTGGTCGAAGCGTTTCAGAGACACGTGTTACCTTACATAGCTGCATGTCATTGTCATGAGAGTAAGTGATAGAGAAATGCAATTAAGGCTGTGCTGGAGGAAGGGGATCAATTTCTCCGACCTTGTCTCTGAGCGCTGCCCTGAGCACAGAGGGTGGACACAACCAGGACTTAAAAGCAATCAGGCCAGGTCCAGCCTCCTCAGACATCCTGGTGAGTGTATAATGAATAGCCAGGAAATGTAAATAGCCCAATGGACAAATGAGGAAAGACCATCTGTCGAATTAAAAGTGCATTCCCTCTGGTCTAAACAGTTGGATACATGCTGTACACCAGATACAGGTGGTGTACAGAAAAAAACAACACTGATCGGAGACTTGACCCCACAGTTACGCCGCTTATCTTGTGTAAAGGGATCGCCTGCAGCCGCTAACATACTATTTGTACACAGCATGTCCGTCTATAAATAATTCATGCTTTCCTTTTAGAACATCACACTTATATACTTATATACTGCACACTCACAGCATCTAACCTAATATGTTTCCAATTCTTCACAATTGTTGCTTACAATAGCACCTGTGTGTGAAACAAACGATTTACTTCAAATTAAATAATAATAGCCCATTAGAAACGTTAAAAGTGTGTACATCTCGACAGTGATTCAATATAATGTGTTCCCTTAAGCAAAATCTTTGTCAGCTGTTTACTGTGTCTCATGTTTTATCTACATCTCTCTGGATTTGCTCCTCCACATGTCTCCACACTGCCTCTGTGCCTTCATGTAAAACCTCCTCCCTCATGACACTGGCTTGTTGGAACAGAGCACAGACATGCATAATATGTTCACAGCTGATACAACACAAATGATTGCATGGGTATAAGGGTGCATTGAAATGACCATTGGACAAAAAAACAGCCAATTAGTATGCGGGTGAATGAACACGCAATTGCATCTGGGGTCTCTAGCGCTGAGGGTACAAATATTCAAACGTTGCTATATTTAGCCCGTGTTTTAGTGACTAAGTCAACACAAATCATTTTAACACAAACTCACCACCCCCAGCCTTTAAGTATTTACAGTCGGTTCCTTTTTGGACTCATCTAACGTTAATATTTATAATTCAATCAAATGCTGTCACCTAAATTTACAGTTTGTGTCAGTTCCAAGCATGGGTTTCCACAAAAAATGAATCTGATGCTTATTACATTACATACATTATTATTATATTATAAATTATATTATATTACACAAAGCTGATTATTGTGAAATTTTAGTCATGCTGTTACCTCATCAAAAACATACCTGGAGTTGTGCTTTGTTTTGTTCACACATGTTTGAGTAACACTTTGTTGTTAGTCTGTCTACATCTCCAAAGATCATAATGCTCTGTTCCACCTTGTGATGTCATGAAGTGATAGTTTTCAAGGTAATAGTTACCTTAACAGCTACCTTTGTCAATAGAGATTAGAAATTCCAGGGCTGAAATTATCCAAATGATTCTAGTCCTCTAGTGAGGAAGTTTAAAAATACAGCAGAGTACTTCCTGTATTAAACAGATTGTTTTCAGATTGAGAGAAGAACTCAGCCTAAATATGCATGATTTGTATGTTAAAGACGTGTGAATGTTTTTGACGAGGTAACAACATAGATCAGAAATTAGAGTAATATGGGCCATTTAAAAGAGCTAAGAAGGAACGAATAGAATTCACTGTAGGGACTTTTTGAAATTAGAAAACATTTTAAAGTGCACGTTTCAAATTTGTCCAGGAGCAATAATACTTGGGAGCACACTAAAATATGCATTGGTTAATTGATACAAGAATGGCATGCATTTCAGAACATGTTTGTCAAGATCTAAACCACAGGATTTATTTAATTACAGAGGACATTGTATTTAACAGTTGCAGCCTTTGGAATTTGGTAATTGCAGACATTCACATTGTTATTTCAATTTGATTGTGACTATTTTTGTAGCACTAATTCACAGTGCACAGAATGAGGAGACAACAGGTCAATATTTCTCTTCTTAAGCCTCTCTTTTACTAATGTAACCCAGCCACCCCCATCTCCAGCCACATTGTCCAAATTCAATACGCCACAGTCAAAGAGGGAAGAATCAGAGTAATCACAGGGAAAGCTTGGACCGGCAAATACTTGGTATAAAGGTCCTTCCCCGGGACTTGTACAGCCCCAGTAGAATGAGCAGCACTATTTAATCTCCAGGGATATCAGCTGGAGCATCAGGATGGTGGCTTTGTCCAAGGACATCCACTCTGTCTGCTCAGAGCCAGTGATAACATCAGACACACAGAAATGCCTGGGAGGAGATACAGATGTGGAGACAAAGCTGGGTTTCTGCCGAGGGAGATAGATCCCATAAGAAAATCTGTGTACAGATAAGGGATTACTACAGCTACTGCGTTATGGTGAATCATAAAACAATGAACATTAATAAAATAAAAATAAGTGCATGCATTAAAATTTCTGTGGCCCTCCGTTTTGAATATGTTTTGTTATGCTTTAATGGAAAGAGGTCGGACACCCTTGTTTTATGGCATTAAAATTTAGAAACTTTTTTCTCTAGTAAATTTCAAATGCTTTAAAAGTTGACTAAAATATAGTGTCCTGTGCTCTTAATGCATAGAGCATTCTACCCAATGACTGCAGGCTAAAGTATAATAACTACACTGTAATTACACCTGAACAATACTTAATTCATAAAGAAGAGATGTTTTATTAAGAATGATTCAGGCTCATATCATCTCCACATCGTAAAACAAAGGGTGTCCAAACTTTTTTCTTCAAGGGCTGCATATCAAAATACAAACCAAGGTGAGGGCCAAGAAAAATTAGTTTGATTTGGCCCATGAGCCATAGTTTGTACACCAAGATGATTTGTACCCAAAGTTGTTGCTACACCCCTGGCCCCCTCCCTAAAATATAGCTCACAAATAAAACTAACATCAGGCGGTATACTATTGGTTATATTTGTATTATACAGTATTATACAGGGTTTGAAAGTGGTGGTGATTTATGGCTTGTCACTCTGAATGGGAGAGGAGAGGGAGAGGGTATAGTAGAAGACATCATCAGGCTCTGTGAAACCATGTCTGTATCTCAGTGCAGAATAGAGATCCCCCAAGGAAGTACCCCCACAGCTGGTAATTTGCCTTCACCTTTAAAGACATACAGAAACAACACACAATCTATTAAACAAGCACAAAAATACACACCCATTCACACACAACGACTGCAGCAGGAGTAATTCACTGCTCACAAGGATTTCATGTTTCTATGGAGAAGAATGGCTATTTTTAGAAAGGATATAAATAGCTCCTATCTGTAGCTCCAATCCTTGCATTCATGTCTGATTGTAGCCAGCAGCCTTTACTGTATGGTATTATTGCCCTTTCGGGTTTTCTTCACTTTGGCACTTGCTCATGTAAATTGTATATAAATAGAATTTTAATTCGAACTAAATGACAGGTATACGCACCCCTCTCCTCCAGTAATGTTGAAGGTGTATTGGTGCATTGTGGGAAATCTTTTTATATCACAAAAAGCAATAAAAACACAAACATGGGGAAAATAAAAAGTAGATGCTGATAGTAAAGTAAAATGTACCTTTCCGGACATGATTGCTGAGCTTTAATAAGAACAGCAAGTGAGTTTCATTTTGAGCACTTTTACACCATTGAAAAGATAGAGTACATTGTGGTAAATTGTTAAATGCCATGGCAACAGTGCTAATTATCAATCACTCTAAACCCTCTGAAACACAGATAAGTTCAGCTAGTGCACAAAGCATCAATTAAGTGTAAAGTATAGAATGCATTTGTTTTCCTTTATATCGTTAGAAGCTAAACAACAGGCCTTTGCTAATGCACATTTGGTCTTGAGGCTGGAGGAGTGGACACAATGCAGAGACATACTGTGTGACTTACAGTG